GTGCGGGGCCGCTTCGCCGCCTGCGTGCGCTGTGCGACCGGCCGGTCCCCGGCGCTGCGGGCCGGGCGCTGATGCCTCCGGTATGTGCCCGAGCTGGTGCGTCCCTTCCAAGGGCTCCATACGTGTCGCTAATTGGCGAAAGTGCTTAGGCTTACACTTGCCTACAGAGAAAGGGAAGTTTCTGTCTTTGCTTAGGAGACAACAGTAACTTTAAGTTTTTCCCCTTTTAGTTGTTTGATACATATAAATTTGTTTCTCGTTACAGATGATTGAAACACTTGTAACTACTGAAGCTCAGGAACTGCTGTACCAGCTCACAGCCCTGTTGGAACAGGAGTTAAGATGTCAGCCAAAGGCCTCTGGCCTGAGACTGATTGAGTCTGCTCATGATAATGGCCTCCGGATGACTGCAAGGCTGCGAGACTTCGAAGTGAAAGATCTCCTCAGCTTAACTCAATTCTTTGGCTTCCATACAGAGACGTTTTCACTAGCTGTGAATTTCTTAGACAGATTCTTGTCAAAAATGAAGGTAAGGCTTTTTATAAAGTGTAAGCTCTCAGTCATGAGCTTCTGCTCGTTGCAACCTTGTTCCTATTATATGATAAAACATCTTGGTTTTAGAAGGCTAAAGGTTAAGCTCCTTCCAGCAAATCTGATTGCTAAGAAGAGCTAAAAGATGGCTTTCCCTGTTCAGATTTGAGTATCATTAAGAAAGCTGTTTCCTTTGGAAAGAGCCTACAGGAAGAGGACATCAGTTTCAACTTGATGATGCCCATAGGCGTGGAAATGCAGGCCACATTAATGGGTTAGATCAAGACAGTGTGTCTTGCCTGTTGCATGTACACAAGAAGACCTTATATTACTTCTTATTTTGATGCTGTTTCAACCTACCCATAAGCTTCATGTACATCAAGAGGCTTGATGTTGTTCAGCATTTAGAGTCTGGTAAAACATTTAGTTAGCACTCAGTTCTAGTGTGCATATGTGGCACGCTGACCCGGGTTGTTTTTAATTGTCAAACGAGACAGGATTACTACTGTACTGTTTGGTCAAGAACAAAAGCTTGTTTTTCTTGTGTGTTGAAACAAAAACGAGAAAGCCAGATGGAGTGGATAGGAAAATAATGATTTGAAAGACTTCTGAATCCAAAATAAGCAGTAAAAATGGGGACTGTAACGCCTATGGAATAAAATAAGTCAGTTTTTATATATATATGTTTGTGTGTGTATATCTGTGTTCGTACATATGTGTGCATACATACAGAAAAGAGTAAAAAAAATATCTTTTGTATAAGCCAATATGTACAGCACTATAGGTCCTAAAAGCTTCTGATTAGGTTATTATAGAACCTCATTTAGAAACCAGTTCTACCTCAATCAAAATAAGTTTTTCTGCAATCTTGGGTTTTAGATTCATGAGGCAGAACTTGTATTGTGTAACGGTCCTCTCATTAAGTTAAATAAAGATAAGAATGTAAGTAGAGAACACATCGCCCACCCCCTATGATTTTTTCCTAAAATACATTGATGTCTATAAAGTTTCGTACTTACATGTTGAAATGGCCTTTCTCTTTGCGAGAAACAAAAATTTACTTTTCTTTAGGTACAGCCTAAACACTTGGGCTGTGTTGGGCTCAGCTGCTTCTACTTGGCTGTGAAGGCAGCAGAAGAAGAGAGAAACGTTCCCTTAGCCACTGACTTAATTCGAATAAGCCAGTATAGGTTCACTGTTTCCGATATGATGAGAATGGAGAAAATCGTATTGGAGAAGTTGTGTTGGAAAGTCAAAGCTACAACAGCCTTCCAATTTCTACAACTATATCATTCACTCATTCATGAAAATTTAAGCTGTGAAAGGTAAAATATGTAATACTTATCTTGCTGTGACTGCGTATGACCAGGAAGCCTATATAGAAAAGTAAGCAGGGAAATAACTCCTTGGCTTTTCTATACTTAAAAAAACCCCACAAACTTTCCCCCTTATTGGTAAATGTGAATATCTGTGCTTTAATATTATTTTAATTTAAAATGTCATTTATATAAATTGATCTAAAGAGTATTGCTCTCTGAGCCGAACACCAGATTTGCTCAATAATAATGGCATAATAAATCTCTGCTTGTGCTGCATTAAGTATTGCCTCATTGCAAAGATTTCAAAATCTGTCTTAGAAAGAGATTCCTTTTGATAGTAAGCACTAAAATTCCTTGTTGGTAAACCTATTTTGGCAATGCAGCTCTCCCCAATGTAACACAAGATTTATTTTTGGCATTAGGACTGCCAAAACTGAACACCTGTTTGACTGTAACCCTAGAACTTCGGGGACAAATGGGGCCTTTGTTTAAATAACGAACATTCTTGCTGCTTCTCTGAGTTTCCAGGGCGGTGCTGCCTTCCTCAAGCTTGTGTTCTTCTTTTACATTGTCTCATCTATTTTATTATAGGAGAAAATACCTTAATTTTGAGAGACTTGAGACCCAGCTTAAGGCATGTCACTGCAGAATCATGTTTTCTAAAGCCAAGGTAAACGTCTTAAAAGCTCAAAGACAATGAGACTACTGCACCTTAACAAAAAGTTTAAAAACTTTTTCTCTCTCTCCAGCCTTCTGTCTTGGCACTGGCTATTATGGCACTAGAAATAGAAGAGCAAAAACTGCTGGAATTGACAGAGGCATTGGAATTTCTGCAGTTGCATTCCAAGGTATGGATAAAGCTTCAGGGGAGGAACGAAGAAAAATGCATGCAAGGGCCTACACAGTGGGGACGGGGGAGGTCCATTGCCATACTGGTTATTTTTTTGTGGCTTTGTTATGGTGGGTTTTTTCCATTTAGCTTGGGATCTTTGGCTTCCTATCTTATGTGAAGAAGGTAAAAGTACATGTATGAAATAAGGATTTAATGAGTTATTAACATATGAGATTCTGTCTTGCTATTTAGATAAACAACAGAGATTTGACCTTCTGGAAGGAACTGGTGTTGAAGTGCCTTACAGAATATGCTTCGAGCAAATGTTCCAAACCAAATGTCCAGAAATTAAAATGGATTGTGTCTGGACGTACAGCGCGGCAGCTCAAACATAGCTACTACAGAATAACACACCTTCCTACAATTCCAGAGACCAGCTCATAATAGGTAACTCCTTGTAAAATCTCCTTCTGGTAATGTAGAAGTAATTAGCTGTTAACTACCTCCAAGTTTCTTATTCCATGTGGGTGACCTCTTGAAGACATGTAACATAAACGTAGTAGGCCTGTTATAGAGGCTGGTCTGTTGTCGTGTTCATGCTTGAGCCAGTGCTGTACCTAAAGAAGTGGCAACCTAATGTATGAGCGTTGGAGAAAGAACTGATCCTCTGGTGTGCTGAGGGAGCAGAAATGTGTTCTACAGACATTGGGACCTCATGCAAACTAATATGTGGAGTAAAACTGGTAAAAAGGCAGAAAAAAGGCTTGGCTTGCTCCTATCCCGAAAAGAATCGATGAGAGGAAACAGTTGCCTGTTAGCATGAGTTTCTTGTAATCATTCACTTAAACCACTTAAAGGGAAAACTGTTTTATACAGTTGTACTTGTATAACTGTCTGTTTAGTAAAGTCTAAAAACTGTAATTCAGTTACTCATATTACTATTTTTTTACTCTGTAGAAATCGTGAACTACTTCTTTACCTAGACTTTAATTCCAAAGGCTACATACTTTGTGTAACAGCTGTCTTGCTGTTGCTTTGTTATATTAAAGTCTGATGCTTTTTTTGGCTCTTGTAGCAATCCCTTCAGTTGACTGTTGTTTTTTTTTATAGGAGTACAATAAAATGAGGAGAGAACCATCCTGTGACCTTGTCAACAGACACATGAATATTTGAGAAACAAAGTCTGAAACTTGATCTTTATAACGAAGAGCTAATAGAAAGAACATGTACCATTTCAGACGAAAGATCCTTCCAGCAAACGCGTTCTTTTCATGATGATTACAACAATATTCAGTGTCAGTTTTCAGTCTTATTTGTTAGACTGTTTACTGTTCAGTGAAATACCACAATACCGATAGAAGGAATTTTAACACCTTATAGTTTGTAGAGCAGCTTGTGTGGTCTAACCTTGGTTTACTGTAACTGCAAGTGCTGATATTTAATTTAAAAAGCCTGGTTTACTTTCCAAAGATTACGTGACACTAGGAAAACATGCAGTAGCATAGTGCTGCAGCATCTCAAATAAAACTAAATACTAATCCCCCTCAATATTGATGACAGTAGCAGATGCCCGTCAGTCCACCTGACATGCTGTTTGGGCAGTGTCATGTGTCTGCGTGTTCCTGCTGGGCAGGGCACTGGCCTTCTACCATAGACATACAGTAAAAACTGGGCTGTAGTACCCACTGAACATGGCAAGTAGCTAGAGCAGAAGAAAAGAGAAATCTTACTTTGCTGCCTTGCATAAGTCAGTCACTAACAAAGCTTCAGTAACTTCAGTATTTTGTAAGAGGTGTACTTTACAGAGATTACGAATTATTTCTTAGACCATAAAACCTTCATGGTACCTAATGAAAGCTGAGAGAAAGCACTGGGTCACCTGCCCCAAATCTGGCATCGTTTTTCCAAAGTTTCACTGTACAAGAGGTAAATGCTTATGCTGAACGGGTGCATTTTTACAGGCACAGTAGGAACAGGGCTAATGCTCCATCTTGGCCTATCTGTAGGAGCAATCTAGTTGAGAAACACTAAAGATTGCTTCAACTCTGACCACTTTAAGGGTAAGCTTCATAAAATACAACTGTTTTTTTCTGAAGACCAGATCAGTACTTGGGGCATATCACACTTCTTCTACTAACAAGGAAGTGAATAATAGAAATGTATTATTGTATGTAAGATGAATAGAGGTGTTGGGGGAATGTTGCTAATGACCTCTTGAATTCTGCATCATTGTGGAGCAGAGGCTGCTAGTGATGGGCTGTTACTAAACTGATGGCCGTGTGAACTGACTTAGCGGAGAAGGAGAGATCAGAATGTTCTGAATATAATGTGGGCTTAGATGTTACCGACCAACTCTGTCCCCTTTATGGTAACAGCTGATGGGGAAACCATTCTTTGTGCATCTCAAACTAATTAAACCTTTCACAGAAGACTTCATACCAAAGCTCTAAACTGGACAAATCAAACCTTCTCATGAACTCACGGGAGTGATTGCACTGCGTGACACGTAATTGGGTTTGCATCTGCCAGTGCTGTCTGCTTTGTGCTGGCCTCTGAAAAGCCTACGAGCGATTTGGACAAAGGCGTCGTCAGCCTACTGGAAGAGACGGAGAAGATGCAATGTGCAATTCTAATGGTATTGTCATGTCTCAAGATATGTACCTTTCAATTAAATATTGAAATGTGCTTAACTTGAGTAACTTTTTCCTTGTTTGTTATAAAACATCTTCATAGGAAGCCTATAAAGTGGCTTATATCTGAACAGCACCCGGAAAAACCTCCAGGTGGGAGGTAAGAGATGGAGATTTTTTCCAATTTTTATTTTTTTGTTAAGAGGTTGAGGCTGCATGGGAAAGGCTAGAGAATGAACAGGAAAAACTCAAGATGCTTGAAAATTATTTCAACTTGGCCCACGATTGCTCTGAATCCTTTGAAAGTGTCAAGATTAAAAAGACTGACTTAATAGCTTAGATGGTTCAAATTTGACTTCAGCCCTCTTCCATTATTTATCTAATAATACATATTGCCTGGTTTTGTACATTGCAGTAAATACATGGATGGTGCCTGCTTGAGAGAATCTAGCACTAAGATTGCTCATCCCAAGATGTGAGTTTTTGCACTCATCTGAGCATCTCAGTCTGACTAGGTGTAAGTAGCTACACATTTCCATGCCTAGCAGTGACTCAGAGCAGCTGTGGTCTTTTTGATAAAGAGAGCAATGCTGTGGCATTACTTGAAGCTGATCTTTAACTAGATACATGAAAATAATGCCAGTAGACTGTCTTCCATTCATTCACATAGCAGAATAGCACTCTGAGTGCACAGGCTTACTTCCTATAGAGTAGGTTGCTCTCAGTACTGTATCACATCTAAATTTACGCACCTGTCACTGCTTGTCTAAGAAGCAAGGGATTGAATCCCAGTGAGACTTAGGAGATGGAACACAAACCACCATTTGTTACAGACTGAGAACTTAGTAGATAACTGATTAAGGGAAGTCATAGCATCGTTTTTATTTTCATCTAGTTTCTTCCAAAATTGGAGGTCTGTAACTTACAGTAGAAATAACTGAGTAGTTCGAACCTTTCCTCTTAAAACAATTCAGAGCTAAATGCCTAAATACTTCACAGTTGTCCTCCTTCCTTGGCATCAGCCTTGGACTTGCCTGCAGGATGACTCATTACTTCATAAAGCAGAAAATACAGGAATAAAGTCTGGCTTTGAAAGTGCATACAAGAAATGTGAGTTCATGCACTGAAGTGTCAGATGTCATTCTAAACTTCTGCTGTAAGCAAAAGACATACAAAACTGTCCTGTGCAGACCAACTGCTGTCCCAAAAAGCATTTAACTGGATAGTACTTCAGCATTTTGATGCAACATTAACTGTTTTCTATCTTCCCTCTGTCTTCAGCTGCTTTTGCAGCAGTCTTGTTCATTTAACTATACTGCCCACCCCCTATATTAGGATCATGGTAAAGAGAGAAAACTTCAGAGCCATACATCAACATTTGGTATCACGCTACTTCCCTTTGCAGAGTAAGGCAAGTTCTCTGTAACCCAAGCACAGTGTATGGACTGACAATATTGTGTGAAGGTGACAGGGGTAGAAGCAGCATACTTGATTTCAGGAGTACGTAGTGTGTGCTTGCTCCTACAACAAGAAAGCATTGGATATAATCACAAAGAAAGCATTCTTCCTCAACTATTGCTTTACTTTTGCCATATGCCAGCTGAAATGACGCAATTTTAGAACGAAGGCTCAGGGGTATGATGGACAGCTGCTGGTAATTTATCTCTAGTGAGACTTCTGCTCAGGACTTAACTACAGGCACTACTTTCAGAGTCCGGAATACAATAGGATTTGGCAATCATGTTTTATTCTCGTTAGTGTGTTTGACGTAGCATTTGTCCTGTGTAATGCTGTGGTTGGAATGCTCCTCAGCTGCATCCTTAACAATGAGTAGAAAATTCCTAATGTGTAATTGGCACACGCAAAATGTTTTATCATGCAATAGCTAAGCTTAAAATGTGCCTACCAAATTTAAAACTGTGTCTACAAAAATCTGCAGCTTTTTAGATACACTACGAACAACTCGTGCTATATGTTGGTAATGAATAGATGTAAGATACCATTTCCTACTTAGTGACTTCCTACTTGTTTCAAAAGTCATTATATTCTCTTACTTTCAAAATTTTAAATATTTATACTAAAAGGCTATATTATATTAACACATAAAATTATTTATATCCAGACTTTCACCTGACCTTTCAGTTTTCTAGTATCGTTTGCTTGGTAGCAAGTATTAATCAGTAGTGCTATATTTGACAGCACGGTGGATTGTAAAATCTTATTTGAGGCAAGATGCAGTGGTTTCTTTATTTAAAATAGTTTTAGAATGATATTAATGAGTTCTCAGAGGGCTGCTACAGAGGGAAAGTGTAACTGTAGCAATTCTAATACTCTTCCCTTTGCCAGTTAAGAGAAAATATTAAATATCTTGCTTATAAGATCTATTCTTCAATGGTGAATAAGATATTCTTGCATGAAGACAAGGGGTATATTTATAACATAGTTTACTGTAGTTTTTCTAAAAAAATAAACACCGCAATCCAACATTCTGCTTAAAGATGTTACTTTTTTGCATACACCATTCTATACAGTTTGTGCCTTTGTATTCAGTTATCGGAGCTTATAAATTGGCTGGTAACACTTTGTCTTCATTCCACTGGAAGAAATCTTTTTTTTCACTGAAGTAATTACTTGACAAAAGTCTGCTGAAGAGGTCACTGAAATCTTCACCAGTTACATGATTCCATTCTTTAAGTGTAACGTGTAATTCCTCTCAAGGAACACAGATAAACACAGTTTACTTTTCAAGACTAGAAAAGTCTGGTCCTCCTTTGCTGTAATTTCCAGAAATTTCTGCCCCGCTGAAGTCAAATC